GATTGGCCTAGGGGGGGGATTTTATAGGGATTTTAAAGGGATTTTATAATTTTTCTAATACAGGTTAATTAATATATATTTTAATTTGGCTTTTAAATATTTATTGTATAGCTCTGTTTTTATTTACCTGTAAGCCGCCCTGAGTCCCTCGGGAGAAGGGCGGGGTATAAATTAAAGTAATAATAATAATAATAATAATGTTAAGTGATTAATTCTTGAGCCACCTGCTCCATGCAACGAGATTCCGATTCCTCTCACCTGCAGGGATTCAAATTTATTAAACAATTATATTAATCTTGACGTCCACCACTTTGCTTTCCGTTGTGGAAAGCCAAGTCTTTCCACTAACCCCAGACTATATATCGTGGCAGTATATTGCTGGCAAACAAAGAGAGGAAGTGGGAAAAAAACATATGGAATGATTTCCTGTTAAGGAGCCTTTGCTCCTGGTCAATCCACGTATTCCCCCCCCCCCCCGATTATATTGGATTTACATGGTTAATAGAAGATATCAAGGCAGACAAGGTCAACAGGTCTTCCTTCCCCTTAATCTGGCACAAAGGAGTAAAATTCAGGATGATATTTATACAGCTTAGCAGTATTGATCCACCGAGCGGATAGATTCCAAATTGCATATAAATAAAAGCTGCATATTTTTTCCCCCCATCTGATAAAAATGTCTCTCTCTGGAGCAAAGCTCCAGAATTACACAAGACAGAAAAATGCCTTCCAAAATGCTGAGGGCCTAAATGGTCTCTTCTAGTTCTATTCTGATTGATTGATAGTCTTGCAAGGGTGTGTGTGTGTGTGTGTGTGTGTGTGTGGTGTGTTAAATGGCATTTTTAACTACACAGTGCCACCCAGTGAATCAGGTCTGGAACTGAATAGTTAGGGGAAAAACAACACCTAAATGGACCTTCTGCATTAACACCCACATCCAGGGGGACCAAAATATCGTAAAACAGAGAGGATGACCAGGCAAAATGGTTTATAAAACACACACACACACACACACACACACACACACACACACACACACACACACACACAAATTGGAAGGAAGGCAAAGCAAAGTTGCAATAGAGAGGAATGAAGATGCTTAAAATTGAGCTAGGTGTAAAAAAAAAAAAAAGGATAGTTCCTCAAATGTAAGAAAAATGCCAACTCCTGCATATTCTAATAGGTTGAAGAAATGCACAAGGATGAGTGAAATGTGTTTGTAACATCTATACTTTATTTAAAAGATTGAAATGAGGCTTCCAGGCAAGGGACATAATCACAATTATTCTGATCAAATCTTCATCTTGAACGGCCACAACACTCAGGGGTGACTTTCAGTCTGAAACGAAGCTTTGATAAGTACATGTAGAAATATAATCTTGAGGGGGTCCTTGGTGCTCTCTGAGCTTGGTTGTTTTCCTGCAGACATTTCATTGCCCAACTAGGTAACATCATCAGTTCTAGTAGGGAGTGTGGTTTGCTGTCTGTTTCCATTCTAGTGGCCTGCCCTATTCAATGTTGGTGGGAACGGCCTTAGAGATTGGCTGTTAATTTGTTTGGCAGTTCAGAAATTGGGTTATTGTTTACTTCTTGATTATTAGTCTGATGTTAACCCTGGTGTTAATTTCTGCTCATCTAGACACTGATTGCTCGTGAAGAGGTGCTTAAATCTTTGTGTTCCCTTTTTTGGCAAAATAAATCCTCATTGAGTTATGGAATACAAGATTCAGCAGAAGTATTTGAAGGTCAGAATGGAACTAGAAGGGGCCTTGGAGGTCTTCTAGTCCAGCCCCCTGCTCAAGCAGGAGATCTTCTACAATTTCAGATAGGTGGCTGTCCAATCTCTTCTTAAAAACCTCCAGTGATGGAGCACCCACAACTTCTGGTGGCAAGCCGTTCCACTGGTTAATTGTCCTCACTGTTAGGAAGTTTCTCCTTAATTCCAGGTTGCTTCTCCCTTTGATTAATTTCCATCCGTTGTTTCTTGTCTGGCCTTCTGGTGCTTTGGACAATAGTTTGACCCCCTTGTCCTTGTAGGAACCCCTTAAATACTGGAACACTGCTATCATGACACCCCCAGTCCCTCTCTTCTCTAGACTAGCCATACCCAAACCCTGCAACTTTTTGTTGCAAACAGTTTAAAAGTTTGTAGCTTGGAAACTATAAGTGTTGCTAGGATTTTTCTACGAATAAGGAAAGTGAATCGGGCTCCATCAATAGTTCTCACGGTTTAAGACTACTTGTAGCTCAATGTTGGAAAACGGAACGTCTGCCCACTATAGAAGAATGGTCACTTAAAGTCTCAAATTTAGCAGAAATGGCCAAGATTTCCACTTATGTGAAGGATTATTCACAAGAAAGATATATTTCGGTTTGGAGAAGATGGATAGATTATATTGAGAGTAAATATGGGACTAAAAAATTTCACTTGGTTTTTGAGTAAATTTTAGAGTATTAATGTAGTTTATATGTTATAATAGGTTACTTATTTTTATTTATAATTATTAATATGGTGTTATAATGATTGTGTTTGATATTAGTACATTTGTTTAAAAGAGAGTTAAAGGACGTTACAGATTTGTTAATCTAATAGTTGATTAATGTTAGATAGAGTATGATTACTGTATTGTTAACCCTGCGATTGGCTCTGGGAAGTGGGGGGGGGGAGGGNGGAGGGGAAGGGTGGGTTCTGGGGAGGGGGGGAATTATATCGTAAAACCTTTATAAAATTTTCAATAAAAAAAAAATAGTTCTCACGGTTTAGGATATAGTTTTTAGCTTTGAATAGATATGAAGCCAATCTGGGTCCCAAAATTTTCTCCATCTCGAACGTGCGAGAAGAACTTGTCGGGATAACACGATGTACAAAGAGTAATGTTTTGTTCTGGGTCTGTGATGGAGTCGTCCTGAATGTTCACCGGTAGGACCCCTCCAGCTTCTAGGAGAAGTCTGTTGCGAGGGAAGACAAAAAGAGACAATGTTATGTTGTAGTTATTAAATCATCGCAAAAAAACGAAAAAAAATTACTATGAAATAGCAACTAGTCATTTCCCAACCGGGGAAAGGGGATGATCAACATTTCCAGCAAGAATTGTTGTTGGAAAACTTTATTGTGTTTATCTATAATAATAATAATAATAATAATAATAATAATAATAATAATAATAATAATAATAATAATAATAATAATAATAATAATAATAATAATAATAGTTGGAAGGGACCTTGGAGGTCATCGAGTCCAAACCCCTGCCCGGGCAGGAAACCCTACACCATTTTGGACAAATGGTTGTCCAGTCTCTTCTTAAAAACTTCCAGTGTTGGAGCATTCACCGCTTCTGGAGGCAGGTTGTTCCACTGATTAATTGTTTTAACTGTCAGGAAGTTTCTCCTTAGTTCTAGGTTGCTTCTCTCCTTGGTTAGTTTCCATCCGTTGCTTCTTGTCCTGCCTTCAGGCGCTTTGGAGAATAGCTTGACTCCCTCTTCTTTGGGGCAGCCCCTGAGATATTGGAAGACTGCTATCCTGTCCCCCCTCGTCCTTCTCTTCGTTAAACTAGACATACCCAATTCCAGCAACCGTTCCATATATGCTTTAGCCTCCAGTCCCCTGATCATCTTTGTTGCTCTTCTCTGCACTCTTTCTAGAGTCTCAGCATCTTTTTTACATCGTGGTGACCAAAACTGGATGCAGTATTCCAAGTGTGGCCTTACCAAGGCCTTGTAAAGTGGTATTAACACTTCACCTGATCTTGAGTCTATCCCTCTGTTAATGCAGCCCAGCACTGTGTTGGCTTTTTTGGCAGCTGCAGCACACGGCTGGCTCCTATTTAAGGGATTGTCCACTAGGACTCTTGAGATCCCTCTCACAGTTACTACTATTGAGCAAGGTACCCCCTATACTATACCTGTATATTTGGTATATAAATATCTTTGATATTTAGAACCTTCAAAGTGATCAAGCTTATCAGAAGTTCCCAATTCCTAACATCTCAGCTTTCTAAAGTTATATTAACAGCAGAATAAGGCGACTTGCATATTAAAAAAAATAGGTAAAAATCATAAACAGGGGCATGGAGGATTCAGGTATTAATTAATGTAATTAATGTTATTTTATAGGACAGCAATCTTCCAATGTTTAAGGGGCTGTCACAGAGAGGAAGGGGGCAACCTATTCTTCAAAGCACCCGAAGGCAGGACAAGAAGCAACGGATAGAAACTGATCAAGGAGAGAAGCAACCTGGAACTAAGGAGAAACTTCCTGACAGGGAGAACAATTAACCAGTGGAACTACCTGCCTCCAGAAGCGGTGAATGCTCCAACACTGGAAGTTTCTAAGAAGAGACTGGACAGCCATTTGTCTGAAATGGTATAGGGTTTCCTGTCTGAGCAGGGGATTGGACTTGATGACCTCCAAGGTCCCTTCCAACTTTATTATTATTATTATTAGGTCTAGTTTAATGAAGAGAAGGACGAGGGGGGACAGGATAGCAGCCTTCCAGTATCTCAGGGGCTGCCCCAAAGAAGAGGTAGTCAAGCTATTCTCCAAAGCGCCTGAAGGCAGGACAAGAAGCAACGGGTGGAAACTAATTCAAGGAGAGAAGCAACCTGGAACTAAGGAGAAACTTCCTGACAGTGAGAACAATTAACCAGTGGAACAGCTGGCCACCAGAAGTGGTGAATGCTCCAACTCTGGAAGTCTTCAAGAAGAGACTGGACAGCCATTTCTCCGAAATGGTACAGGGTTTCCTGCCTGAGCAGGGGGTTGGACTAGAAGACCTCCAAGGTCCCTCCCAACTCTGTTATTCCATTATTCTAAAGGGTCCTCAAGGCCAAGCTTACCGTGTTGCTCTCCGGATATCGACGTACGGATTGGGTGACTCAAAACATCTCACGCAGGTCGGATCAATCTTGTAAAAGTCTCTTGCCGATTCCTTGGGTAACGTAAAGCAACAGGGCCCAACAGACGGTCCAAGAACTACGAGGATATCCTTTACCTTACAACCGTATTCCGTTACCATAGCAGTAACTACAGCCATAGAAACCCCGAGCAGGGTGCCTTGCCAGCCTGAAACACAGACCAAAATAATAAGGCAACTTGGGCGTTTAGGGATTTAAATGCAAGAATACGCAAAAATGACTCTGCAAATCCTACACTGCACCCTGTGGGAATGTGCAAGGGTAGTCTCTGCAGTTACAACTGTTGTAGGGCTCCCACGGTCACGTGATCAAAACTCTCTTGTCTAAAATTCACGGCCTATATTTGTGACCGTGGCTATGTCCCAGGATCATACGATCTCCATTTGCAACCTTCATCGCCACTTTTCGGCAAGCAAGATCAATTTGTTTTTAAAGAAAAACAAAGCAACCAGAACGGGATCCCTCGGAATCCCCCAGGTGCTTTCCTGTGTGCCCCCAGGTAGACAGAAAAAAAAACCCGACGACAACTGTTGTGCTTCTATTCTAGCCCCTTTCCAGTGAACTCTTTTAAACTGCTCAAGGTGACTCAGCCTTTCCAAATCCAGAGAACAGAACGTGCTCACCATCCCCTGACTTCCCCAAGACAAAGAACGAGGAAGTAGTGGCAAAAAAAACGCTGCAGGGGTCAGTAATCAATCTTGGCACCCTGGCAACAAAAGACGCAGAGGGCAGCACAATCTTCCTTGTGCAAGTCAACATTTTTTGGCAAGCCACAATCACCTGAAGTCAGCAGAGCCCGGAAGGAGCAAGCAAGCAGTCTATACACATTGCTGACGTGTTTATTTTCACTTCTTCAAATCTTCTTTTTCTCCTCCTCCTCCTCCTCCTCCTCCTCCTCCTCCTCCTCCTCCTCCTCCTCCTTCTTCTTCTTCTTCTTCTTCTTCTCCTCCCCCTCCTCCTCCTCCTTCTTCCATTCTGCCTAACAATTTCTCACAATTATTTTTAAGACAGCGATGAAACCTGGCTACAAAATGGAGAGGACTTCACGTTTGGGCTGTCGTCCAGCCTGCAGGATTTTCAAATCCTTCTTTTGCGGCAAACCGCGTAATGTCTGAGAAAGGATGTCGTATGGCAGTGATTCTCAACCTGCGGGTCGACCATTTCACGGGGGTCGCCAAGCAAGGCTGTCCGCCATTTTTTTTGTCTGCCATTTTTTTTGTCCGCCATTTTTTCCCCCTTTTCCGGCGGGTACCTTACCCCCCTTGGGCTGGGCCAGCTGGTGGTCGGCCTGCTCCGTCTCTGCCGCTTGCCAGCTACGCCTCGGCCGGCGCAGGGGGCGGAACCACGCATGCGCGGCGCTCTCGGGCAGGGAAAGTCCTCGACTTACGACCGGTTGGGTAGTCCTCGACTTACGACTGGTTTAGTCCTCAACTTACGACCGGTTTAGTCCTCAACTTACGACCGGTTTAGTCCTCGACTTACGACCAGTTGGGGTCGCGGCATTAAAAAGGTTGAGAACCACTGTCGTACGGGAATTCTCCGTCCTCCGTTCTCACAGTTGCCCCAAAGGTGCTTTTTTCCAAAAGGCAACTGGACTTTCTTGTGTTTTTTTTCCCCTTTGAAGATGTTTCGCTTTTCATCCAAGAAGCTTCTTCGGTTCTGAAGGAAGTTTTTCAGAAACTTTCAAAGAAAAAAACAAAACAAAACTCGAGAAAGTCCAGTTGGAAAAAAGCACCTTCGGATCTGAGAAAGGGTGACTTCAATCCAGCAAATAGCTGACTGAAACAAATACAGGTAACCTTTGACCTACAAGACTTCATTTAGTGACCGTTCAAACTTACAACGGCATTTAGTGGCCGTTCAAACTTACAACAGCTCTGAACAAAGCGACGTAGGGCCGTTTTTCACACTTACGACTGTTGCTGTATCCTGTTTGAAATTCAGAGGCTTGGCAACTGACATGTACTTGTGACTGTTGCAGTGTCCCCTTTTGCAACCTCCTAACCAGCAAAGTCAATGGGGAATCCAGATTCACTAAACAACCGTGTTACTAACTGAAAAAAAAATATGCAATGATTCGCTAACAACCGGGGGCACAGAAAAGCCGTAAAATGGGACAAACTCAGTTAACAAATATTTTCCTTAGCCACAAAAAAAAAAAAAAAAAAAATCCGGGCTCCCTTGTGGATGTAACTGGAGGACTCCTTGTACACTGTGGCAAAGATGCACGACGCAGAATTGTGCCTCAAGGACGGAGGAGACTCGCAGCCTGCTTGAATTGGATAGATATGGAAAGCTGGACCAGGCATGCAACCTTTGACCTCTACAAAGCCACAGGTGTTGGGTTACCTGAATGGGCAGCTCCACAAACTTTTCTGACCGGGTCAGCAAACAGAAGAGGAATGCAGTCTGCTCCGGGGGCTGCGACGGTCACTCCTCTTTGGTCAGTTACGATTCCGTCGTAGCTCTTGGGTTGGGGTCTTCCCATCACCCAGACGTCATTGGCGTGGTTGACCTGCTCACAAACGAACAAGTAGGGCCGCGTGAAAAACTGGATTAGGACCCTTCTTTGGCTCCATCCGTTTCCTTTAGGACTTCCTAAACCAGGGGTAGGCAACCTGGGCTCTTTGATGACTGGTGGACTTCAACTCCCAGAATTCCTGAGCCAGCCATGCTGAAGGGAAAGGGAGAGGTTTCCAAGCTGAGCCATGCTGGCTCAGGAATTCTGGGAGTTGAAGTCCACAAGTCATGAGGGGGCCATCGTTCCCCCATGCTGGCTGAGGAATTCTGGGAGTTGAAGTCCTCGAGTCATGAAGGGGCCATAGTTCCTCCATGCTGGCTGAGGAATTCTGGGAGTTGAAGTCCACCAGTCATGAAGGGGCCATAGTTCCCCCATGCTGGCTCAGGAATTCTGGGAGTTGAAGTCCACGAATCATAAAGCGGCCTAGGTTTAGGCCAGGGGTAGGCAACCTTGGCTCTTTTATGACTGGTGGACTTCAACTCCCAGAATTCCTGAGCCAGCATGGGGGAACTATGGCCCCCTCATGACTGGTGGACTTCAACTCCCAGAATTCCTGGGCCAGAATGGGGGAACTATGGCCCCCTCATGACTGGTGGACTTCAACTCCCAGAATTCCTGAGCCAGCCATGCTGAGGGGAAAGGGAAAGGTTTCCAAGCTGAGCCATGCTGGCTCAGGAATTCTGGGAGTTGAAGTCCACGAGTCATAAAACAGCCAAGGTTGCCTACCCCTCTCCTAGACCAATAACCCCAGAGTCATTCCATCATTCGGGCAATTTAAATCACAGTAAACCGGTTGAGGGGAATTGTGAACATCTGGGTGCTTTCTCTGTTTGTTTCCTTGCAGACGTTTCATGACCCAATTAAGTAACATCATCAGCGCTAGAAGAGAGTGGGGTTTACTGTCTGTTTATATGCACTTGTTTCTAGCGCTGATGATATTCCCTCGGTGGGTAATGAAACGTCTGCAAGAAAACCACCCAGCTCAGAGAGCACCAAGGACCTCACACTTCTCTTCCTCCTCCTCCTCCTCCTCCTCCTCCTCCTCCTCCTCCTCCTCCTCCTCCTCTCCACAATCCCCCCTCCCTTCTAGCATTGAAGAGGTTACCTAGTTGGGTCATGAAACGTCTGCAAGAAAACCACCCAGCTCAGAGAGCACCAAGGACCCCACAGTTCAACCCAAGAAGAAATCTTCTTAGCTACTCCGAGTCTCACCTTCATGCTGTGATACATATCCGGGTTGAATCCAGCAGCCTGGGACAATCTTCGAAGGTTTTCTTTAACCACGGCCGGTGGATCCCGCCGTTTAGAACTGCTAAAGAGATTTAAAGAGCTCATCGTTGGTACATACGAGATGCCTCCTGTTCTTGTTGTGAATCCATGCAGGAAAACATGTTCTAAAAAAAGTTTTAAAACACAAAAGGAAAAAAAAAAGCACTTATATTCAGAGCGTAAGCATAACTTTCCTTATGTTTTTAAGATGCATTTTAAAAAAAACAAAAAACCTCAATCTGGTTAAAAAATTCCAGCAAACAGACTCCAGTTCAAAAATTGCTCTCTTGTTTATTCAGAACTTATTATTTTCTGAAGGGTTACAAAAGATATTAAAAAACAGTTTATTCACGATGTCTTTGGGCTCGTTTTCTTACTTACTTTTTTCACACGCTGCTTAAAATAAAACGGGACCTGACACAATAGCAACATCCGAAATTCCTAAATTACCGATATTACTAGACAAGTATTGAAAGCTCCCAAATCTACATTTAATACTGTTTAATATTATTTAGAAAGGATTATATAGATAGTAGCAGGAAACCACACGAAACTAGCAAATTAACAGCCTTTAACGTTTTAAATAATGTTAAATTTGTGTTCTGTGATCTTACAGTGCACTTAGTTAAACAACAACAAAAAAAAACCTACCCTCCAAGGATATTTAGTAAGGAATGTATTTTTAAACCTTTGAATGTTAGAAATCTAATATTTCTGAGGAAATCAGTATTATTTGGGCTTGTTCTACCATGGCACCCTTTTGGTTTACTACGGATTAATATCCAGTTGTCTACAGTAATATTAATTAATATTAAATTATCAATCTGCTTTTGTGAAGAGATATTTGGCCTAAAGACACGAATGCATCACCGAATTAAACACAACTATATAGAATATTTGGAATCTATGCAAGCCCGAAGACTTTTGGATTTACTGCGAGCTAAAAAGTTTACTGAAAGCATCTGATTTGGAACTGTGAATTGAAGTCAGATGCTCACTTTCTACAAATGAACCAGCTTACTTATTATCCATGCTGTGGAAAATCCGATCAATATTTCTCACAATTTAGATGATCTGGCAGGTTAAGAATGGATTTTTTTTTTGTTGCGGTTTCACATACATCTATTTCAATATTTATTTATTTTCTGTTACGTTCTTTTTTTTTTTCTTTTTACCTCTGTTCATTTGTGCTTATCTGGTTTGTTTTTCTTATTTGCTTCCTGCGTTTCATTTTTGTTCCTATATCAAAAGCTATTTTAAAAACGACGACAACGCTAAAAGTTAATACACTAGTCCTTGACTTAGGGACGCAACTGAGAATCAACCTTTCCCGTTACTCAGCAAGATAATGGTTAAGCGAGCTCGGTCCCGTTTTACGACCTTTCTTCCTACAGTTGCTAAATGAATCACTGAGGTTGTCAAGTTGGCTAGACAAAGCCGTTAAGCGAAAGTCGTAAAAGGGGATCCCGGGGACCCCAGGACGCTGCGACTGTCTGTCGTAAATAACGTGCTACCTTGGGTGCTTTGAGTTATTCGTCCGAATCATAAAGGCGGGAATACTGAATAAATAAATATTTCCCAGGTTACCTGGGATCAGTGAAGATTTGAGGATCGTGAGGTTTCCTTTCAAGCTGGGAAGGCGTTCCAAAAACTGGTTTATTTCCTTCGGGATCATCCTCTCCGCCTCGGGATCTAAGCGCGGTCGGATTTTGCTCCGTGATTCCAAGGACTTCTTCAAGCGCTGTTCTTTGACGCTCAGGGGAAGCTCTATCAACTCAAACTGATAAAATCCGGTGAAGAGCTGGTCAATATGCTTCCTCACTAAGGATTTTCTCTGTCCGGACAACAGGAGGACGATCTTTTCCTCACCCTTTTCGTCCAGCTTCTGCTTCATGGTGTATAAGGCCTCAACATACGTTTCGGCAGCCGCCACGTCCCCTACCTTTTTTAAGGTTGCCTCAAGGTCCTTATCATTCTTTTCACAGTCGGAGGTCCGGCAGCACATGAAATACCCCTTGGACTCTTTGAGACCTTTCTTAGGCATGACTTTGGCTATATCGAATACTAATATAGTGAACTCTGAAGTGGAAACGTCTGGCCCTAAGTGCCACAGATCAATCAAGATGGCCGTCTTCGGAATGGGTGGCCCAGATGCAGAGGGACCAGCCATCCTTTTGTTGTGGTTTATTTTTTAAATAAAGGGCAGCCCTTTTATTTTAGAAAGCCTTGCTTGAGTTGTAGTTGTTTCTTTTCTTGGTTTTGCTCTTGACTTTTCCTTTGGGAAGCAGCTTCAACGTATAACACTGTTATTATTATTTTTAATTCCCGTGAACCTCTTTCAGATTTCTCCTTTTTCAGGCTTTCTTTCTTTTTCTTTCTTTCTTTCTTTCTTTCTTTCTTTCTTTCTTTCTTTCTTTCTTTCTTTCTTTCTTTCTCTTTCTTGCTTTCTCTCTCTCTCTTTTTCTTTTCTTTCTCTTTCTATCTTTTTCTTCTTTCTTTCTTTCTCTATCTATCTATCTATCTCTTTTTCTTTTCTTTCTTTTTCTTTCTCTTTTTCTTTCTCTATCTATCTATCTATCTATCTATCTATCTATCTATCTATCTATATCTTCTTTCTTTTTCTTTCTTTCTTGCTTTCTCTTTTTCTTTTCTTTCTTTCTTGCTTTCTCTTTTTCTTTTCTTTCTTTCTTTCTATCTTTTTCTTCTTTCTTTATCTATCTATCTATCTATCTATCTATCTATCTATCTATCTATCTATCTATCTATTATCTATCTATCTTTTCTTTCTTTCTTTCTTTCTTTCTTTCTTTCTTTCTTTCTTTCTTTCTTTCTTTCTTTCTTTCTTTCTTTCTTTCTTTCTTTCTTTCGAAACTATGGACCAAGGTTGTATATTTCAGAAAGCAGTGAAAGGTCAACCTTTGGAGAGAGAGAAAAATGAAAGGTGAAAAGCTGAATTTGGCCTTTTGCTAGAACAAAAGAAGAGGGCAATCGTGATCAAAGCGGAGAAGCAAACACAATCAAGGGTCATTTTCTAAATGGAAACCACTAAATGATCTGGCAAAACAAAACTGTAAAAGAAAAAAAAAACCCACATACAGGTGATATACAGGCAGTCCTTGGCTTATGTCCCCAATTGGTTATTGTTCCAGATTGGATCTCTCTTTAATGTCCTTCCACCCATTACTTCTGCATGCAAACAAAAAAAATATCTTAATGCAAAATTCAAACCCTGAGATTCAAGCTCGTTTACTCACAGTTGCCGAAAACCGTGGTAGAAACCACAGAGAAGCACTTCTCTGAAGAAGTAACTCTTGGTTTAAAGATTTTACACTAGACCAACAATTATTTTGAGGAAGGCAATTTGAGGAATGACTCACATGTATGCACGCACACACGCCCCAAGTTTACAATGCGTAAGTAATATGCAAAACCTGTTTGATAAGAAGTGAAAGTTAGATAAAACGCGTGCATGGAAATATGGCGGAATTAGAAGGGGTGATTGCACTGGTTACTATTGCTTGGATTCCAGACTTTTGAAAAATGGTGCAACTTGGATATATTAAGTGATGACACTCCTCACCCCTACAACGTAGCCGTTAGCTGACTATCCTGATGGGGATGATGGGAGCTAAAATCTAACAGCTCTGAAGTCCACACCTGGAACACAGCATCCAGTTTTGGTCACCATGTTACAAAAAAGATGTTGAGACTTTGAAAAGAGTGCAGAAAAGAGCAACAAAGATGATTAAAGGCCTGGAGACTAAAACCTACGAAGAAGGGCTGCAGGAGTTGGGGATGGCTGGTCTAGTGAAAAAAAGTTTAGTTTAATGAAGAGAAGGACGAGGGGGGACATGATAGCAGTCTTCCAATATCTCAGGGGCTGCCCCAAAGAAGAGGGAGTCAAGCTATTCTCCAAAGCACCTGAAGCAGGACAAGAAACAACGGATGGAAACTAATCAAGGAGAGAAGCAACCTGGAATCAAGGAGAAACTTCCTAACAGTGAGGACAATTAACCAGTGGAACGACTTGCCTCCAGAAGCAGTGAATGCTCCAACACTGGAAGCCTTTAAGAAGAGACTGGACAGCCATTTGTCTGAAATGGTATAGGGTTTCCTGCCTGAGCAGGGGGTTGGACTAGATGACCTCCAAGGTCCCTTCCAACTTTATTATTATTATTATTATTATTATTATTATTATTATTGACTAGGGGTGACGTGATAGCAGCATTCCAATATTTGAGGGGCTGCCCCAAAGAAAAGGGGGCTCAACCTATCTTCCAAAGCACCAGAAGGCAGGACAAGAAGCAACGGATGGAAACTCATCAAGGAGAGAAGCAACCTAGAACTAAGGAGAAACTTCCTGACAGTGAGAACAACTAACCAGTGGAACAACCTGCCTCCAGAAGCGGTGAATGCTCCAACACTGGAGGTTTTTAAGAAGATGCTGGACAGCCATTTGTCTGAAATGGTATAGCAGGGGACTGGACTAGATGTTCTCTAAGGTCCCTTCCAACTTTGTTATTCTGTCATTCTTTATTTTCACTCAATGACCAGCACAACACACTGGCCTGAACGGAGAAGAAAAAGATCCTGTCAGCCATTTGTGTGTTCGTGTTTGTGTCTCTATCTCGGTCAGCTGAATTCAGAGGAATTGCTGATTTTGCAGCCAGAAAAACAAAGGATCTCGTGAAAAGCTGACAGATTCAAGTTTCCGCCTTCGTCCACTTCCTCCTTAAGAGCCCGCTCTTGCAACTCAAGCAGCCTTTGCATGCCATTCAAGACAGGAGGGGCCCTGGCGCTTTCTGAACTTGGTTCTGTCCTTGCAGACGTTGCGCACGGATGATGTTACCTAGCTGGGTCCTGAAACGTCTGCAAGAACACTCAGCTCAGAGAGCACCCAGAACCCCACACTCCTCTTCCTTCTCCTCTCTGCAAATCACATCCTCCTCTAGCACTGATGATGTTACCTAGCTGGGTCCTGAAAACGTCTGCAAGAAAACCACAGAGAAGATCAAGGACCCCACAGTTCTCCTCCTCCTCTTCCTCCTCCTCTCTGCACACCCCCTCCCTTCTAGCACTGATGATGTTCCCTAGTTGGGTCATGAAACGTCTGCAAGAAAACCCCCAAGTGCAGAGAGCACCAAGGACCCCACAGTCTTTTTTTCCCTCCTCCTCCTCCTCCTCCTCCTCCTCCTCCTCCTCC